GGCCGACTTCGGCTCAGGTCATGATCTCATGGTCCGTGAGTTCGAGCCCCGCGTCGGGCTCTGTGCTGACAGCTCAGAGCCTGGAGCCTGTTTCAGATTCTGTGTCTCCCTCTCTCTCTGCCCCTCCCCTGTTCATGCTCTGTCTCTCTCTGTCTCAAAAATAAATAAACGTTAAAAAAAAAATTTTTTTTTAATGAAAAGTACTTTAGACAATTAGTAACTCCAAGAAAAATTCAGGTGGCAGGTATTTAAGTAGCTGACACACACATATATAAAAACTTATTTTAATTATGAAATACATTGTCATTTAAGTTTGAATAATGAAATTTTCCTGTCTGGTACCTCTTACTGATTTAAAAGTGAAAGAGGATATATTTACCATGTAGTTTTGAGAGACCTACTTAGTCTTCATGTAGAAAAGTTGCCATGTACTTAATAGACATTCCTCAGCTAAAATGTCCTAAATACAATAAACTATCAGAAAGCTGATATTTTAAAATTATTTTATTCTATAACTAGAGGAATATATTTCTTAGAAAAAATGTTAGATAATATAAGCACATAGTCACTTTCAAGGTTTTTATGGCCCCTTACAATTTTGAGTTACAAAGTGTTGCTGTTAATAGCCATTATCATTCCTATAAAGGAAAATTGTCTGATTTGAATTGTGTTTCTGTTCCAGCCAACAAAACCTTGCTGAGATTCTGCTTCACTTAGCACATAAGTAGAAAGGATTGAAATTGATTCTTAAATGTGACTTGTGGAATTAGTGTCACTAATTTATAGTCATATTTCATATCATAAAGTGTTTATGAAGAAACAACTTCTCTGTGAAAAATCTGGTTAAGAGGAGGACAGGAGAAGGGAGGGCCAAATGACTAAAAAGCATGTTCTGAATCAAATGAATCTTGTCTGCCAATACCCTGGTAACTTTAGAAGTTTCTTCTGAATAAGTACTTGATTTTGATTATAAAATTCCCAGGTCATGTCTGCAGAACAATATGGAAGGTTTTACAGTTTATATATGAATTTAAGTGATTAATGGTGATAAAATCTATCATTTCCTGGACTTGTTCATGTTTTGTATCTGAAAATCAACTTGCCTGGTTTTAAGCAGATCTTTCCCAGAATTCTTTTATACCAATATCCAATACACACACACACACACACACACACATTCCTGCTTTGTCTATTGGTGAAATAAACTCTTGCTATCTTTTAAAAAATCTTTATCCCAAGGATTCTTCTAGAACGGGGAGGAGTTCTACCACAGAATATTCAGGACCTGAACCAAGATCTCAACATCTGTACATCCTGCCATCCTGACAAGTTTTTTTCCCACGTCCGAGATGGCCTTAATTTTGGTACACAGATTGGCTTCATATCAATTAGAGAATGAGGTACAGTAGGTTCTCTCTCGTCTTTCCCTTCTCTCCTTCTTCCTCTTTCCACCTTTCCCTCCCCTCATTTTTAAAAATAATTAATCATATTTAACTTTACCCCTTTATTCTTGTAGGAAGAATTAAGTTTCTACTTTTTATTGAAGCAATAGAGGTAGAAAAGTTAATTTTTAGTGACATGCTATAATATAAAGAATAGCCACTCCTTTTCCTAGTTAATGAAGAATAATCAGTCTAGCATATAAGTATAAAATTAAATCATTTATTCTTTTTAAAAAATCCGGTATGAATACCATTTATCTTCTTTGTACTTCATATCAGTATACTTCATATCATAACATCCTCGTACCTTTCTTTTTTTTATTCTTTTGATTTTTGAGAAGAAATCTGTGCATAAAGATTCTAAATTCTAGAATAATAAAAAATCCTCACATACACAAACTGACTTGGTTTTCAGCTAGATTTCCAACTGATTATAGCAGGAATTTGCTAGTTTTCTTTAAAAATTTTTTTTTTCAACGTTTATTTATTTTTGGGACAGAGAGAGACAGAGCATGAACGGGGGAGGGGCAGAGAGAGAGGGAGACACAGAATCGGAAACAGGCTCCAGGCTCCGAGCCATCAGCCCAGAGCCTGACGTGGGGCTCGAACTCACGGACCGCGAGATCGTGACCTGGCTGAAGTCGGACGCTTAACCGACTGCGCCACCCAGGCGCCCCGCTAGTTTTCTTTAAAGGATAAATAATAAATAGACTTTGTAGTATGTGCAGTCTCTGTCTCTACTCAGCTTTGCCATTGTACAGCAAAAGCAGACAGGAAAGACACAGAAACAAAAGAGTACGACTGTATTTCAATAAAACTGTCTTTATGAAAAAAAACAGGTGAGGCACCAGGCAGGTTTAGCCCACAGGCTATAATTTGCTGATACCTGATCTATAGTCACAGAGCGAGACAGAGTATAATTTCATTAAGTTAGTATTTATTTCAGATACTTTTCTCAGAGTTATAAAAAAATATTTCATGACAGCGATTTAGTGCTGACCCTTTAGCACATATCTAATTTTCCTTAAGTTTACTTTTAACTGAATTAATATTATTTTTAATCTTCACAATGTCTTTAACTCTTTAATATACAAAAGACTTTAGCATACTTAGTGATTTTTACCTTGATATTATAATAGCATTAGTAAGGGTCTCTTATTTGATTTCAATGTATTTTTACAGATATTGACTGGATTTTTACACAACTGTTTCCTGCCTCCTCCTAAACCAACGACAAGAGACAAATTTAGCTGTTTGATTTACTTAAAACCAAAAGGATTATAATGGATAATTCATCTTAGGTATATTTTTCACTATTATCCAAAACCAAATGATTTTTATTGATTCTAACAAAATCTAGATGAGGATTATTCGTAAAGTGTGGTCTATTTTCTGTGTTGCATGAATCAGGAATAGGTCTGTTCATTTCAGTATTTATTGGGTACCCTCTTTGTCAGGCATTGGTGAAGCATAGGTGAGTCAAAATAAGTAATAATTTTTCCCCTTGAGTCTAATGCAATGGAGGAGATAAACACTTATAATACTTAAATTTAATTTTGATAGCCGTGGAAGAGTACTGAAGAAGAGAGGATTAATTCTCTCTGGAAGGCAGGATAGGGAAAGTGCTATATAGAAAATGATATATCACATGGGCCCAAAAGATGTACAGGCTTTTGACAAATGAAGAACAACCATAACAGGTAGAGGGAACACCATGAACTAGGGCATGAAATTGAGTGTGTAACATGTTCTAGAGAGAGAAGTGTGTAGGCAGGAGTTACTGGAAAAACAGGTTGGAAAGAGATTAGTTAAGGTCTCACATGCCATATCAGAGAGTTTAGAGTTGATTTTTCAGTTAAAGAGTAGGCATAAAAAGTAGGGGAGTGTTTTTATTTTCTCGACATCTGTAACAGGATGGATTTAAATTGCAAGAGACCATGCCAGAGAGAATTAGTTAAGAGGCAAAATACTTTAAAAAAGAAATAATGAAGCCTAAATGAAGACCATGGAAATTAAGATGGAGGAGAATAGATGGCGAGACGTTTCAGATATAGAATCAGTAGATCCTCTTAATAGATAATGAAGCGGACAGGTGAGGAAGAGTGGGGAAGTCATTGATGACTCCAAGATTTCTGCTTGGTTGACTACCAAGAGTGGCAACAAGAGGAAGAAAGAAGTTTGGGAAAAGGGAGAAGGATAATGAGTTTGACACGCAGACTAAAGTGTATCCAGATGGAAATATTTGGTCAATGACTAGAAATACAGCCCTGTCACATTGGTGGGAGCTGGGAGAAAGATAGAGCTTTAGAAGTTGGCTATGCAGAAATGAGGCCTGAGGCCATTGGAGTAGACTGAATCATCTAGGCAGAATTACAGGATGAGTGAAAAGGAGGTTTGAGGGTGAAACTTCATACAACACCTGGGTTTGAAGAACCAAGAAGCTGAACCATTAAAAAAAAAGATTAATAATTAGAAATAAGGGAAGAAAACCAGAGTATTCCCATTTTGAAGAAAGAAGCCAGTGTGGATGTGAGAGGAACTCAGAATGAGACACAGCATACAAGAAATTTTCAGAGATGGAATAAAATGAGAACTGAGAAGAAACCAGTGGATTAACCATATTGAAGCTGTTCTATAGGCAATGGTGGCAGAGTCGGATTTCAGGACACCGCGAAAGAGGATGCGTAGGTGTCCACTCTTCTTTGATAGTATTTACTAGAGAAGAGAAAGCACTGGGGGCTGTGTATCTCAAAGGAAGGGATATTTTTTTTCTTTTGATCAGGAGTTTTAAATATATTTGTAGGCTGAAGAGAGGAGTCAAGCTATGTGTACGTGGGGCAAAATGGTATATATGGTGTGTATTTTTAAAGTGAGTAGTTCATTGCATCTTCAACTTTTTTATTTTATTCATATGTGTCTTATATGAACAGGTAGTAGAATAATGGAAAATTACATTTGTTGGGTATTTACAAAGGGCTTTTATATACATTAACCTCATTTTATCTTGACAGCTATTCTGAAATACATAGGCCAGTTGTTATTCTTTTTATTCAGATGAGGAAACTTAAGTCTCATTGAGGTTTAAAATCATATACTTTGTGATAAAGCAGGACTTGAACCCACATCTTAGGACTTCAGATCTCATTTTAGATTTTACAGTTAATCAAAGCTATCTAAGTTAAAATTTTATTTTCAACGTTCTGTTAATATCATCCATTCATACATTCAGTCAAAATTTTGTTGAGGTACTAGGATAGGTTAAAAAAAAATACACTTGTAGCCTTTAGGAGGTTTAATATCTACTGAAAGGTGGCAGTCAATAAACCAGCAATTGCAATACTGTGATATGTGTTGTTAAGTCGTCACAACCTGATACCTTGTTCAGTTGAATTCTTCTATGCAACTCATAAGACAGTGTAAAATTTAAATACCTCGTCTCTTCCAGTTCAGGGAAGGCATTAAACATAGGACAACAATTTCAAACTCAGGAAAAATACTTTTGTTTAATGATAACAATGAAGATTAAGAATAATTTCACACATTAAGAAAGGTTGATCATTTTCCAGTTCTTCGCTATGCATTATTTTGTTTGAAGTTTATAAATTTACAAGAGGATTAGGTGACCATATTTCACTTTATGTACCAAAATATTCTAAAACAAAATAAAATTATATTTGACTATGACTTTGGATTATCTGTTCCAAAGTATTTTTTTTTTAATTTTTTTTTCAACGTTTATTTATTTTTGGGACAGAGAGAGACAGAGCATGAACGGGGGAGGGGCAGAGAGAGAGGGAGACACAGAATCGGAAACAGGCTCCAGGCTCTGAGCCATCAGCCCAGAGCCTGACGCGGGGCTAGAACTCACGGACCGCGAGATCGTGACCTGGCTGAAGTCGGACGCTTAACCGACTGCGCCACCCAGGCGCCCCTGTTACAAAGTATTTAATGAAAAGTCTCCTTGCTGTTTTACTGAGTGAAAAACTTTTGATTAACTCAGGCACAGAATGACTAGGTTGTTAAATAATTGTGTCTTACTGTTTCTATAAGATCTTTGTCACTCTCAAGCATTTATATATAGGTTTCTGGTACTTTGAGGGTAAAACCACAATGATGATTTTTATTTTTAATAAGTTTAGTTTTCAATCTAAGCTCTGCTACTAACTGCACATATGAAATACTGGTTGTCATTTTATTAAGAAGAGGAATCACGTTTGTAAATCAGATGAGAGTTCATGACATGGTTTTTTGGAGGTACTAAGTATCAAACTAAACTTTGTCTAACTGTAGTTTTAAATTGTGAATAGTAATATAGTGACCAAATAAATGTGCTGTACTCCAGTGCTTTATAAAACAAATGAAAAAGTGATCTTTCCACTAGGAGGCAGTATTTCTACAAGTAGCTTTGCTCTTTTCCTTGGTATAAAGTTGAACCAATCTTACTCTCTGTATTTATTTGTACCAGGAAAGAAAAAAAAAAAAAAAGAGGTGCTTTTAAAGTTAATGAATGTATTGCTCTTACTTTATATATGCACCATCTTGTAGTTCAAGTCTATAAAAGCATTTAGGAACCCTCACCTACCTGGATCTATCTCACTTCTACAGAATCTCCAGTAATTCCTTTTCTGTAAGTAGAATTTTGGGGGAGAAATTCAGAGAAGCTTATTCTATGACACATGACAAAAACATAACACCCATGGATTCAAAAGCTGGAGGATAAGATGTCAATTACATGTGAATTATATCATTTTATATTTCAAAGTAGATTTAATAATTGTTTTTACTTGGTTGTATTAAAGTTATACTTACAATATATCCATCCTACTTTTTTTTTTTAATAGAGAGCAAGAACGGGGGAGAGGGGCAGAGGGAGAGAAAGAGAGAGAGAATCTTAAGCAGGGTTCACACTCAGTCTGACATGGGGCTTGATCCCACAACCCTGGGATCATGACCTGAG